GTAAAGGATAGCATAATGAGCTGGATTTTGCTGGGGGAATCGATTGTTGCGAAATAAATCTCGATTGTGACTGGTATTCGATCCTTTATTTACTGTGGTGTGCGGGCTATGAGAAAAGACTGGATGTACTACTGCTCTTTTCCCCTTCTTGTTAGGGCCGGCCCCGTTATTTTCGTGATATTTAAATTGGCATTAACCCCGACACAAGTTCTATCTTTTGTTTTAACTTTCACTGAACCAGAAATTTTCTGAAGAAAATTTCTGAAGTAAAAAATTTGTATGTGCAATTTGTTTTGTATTATGTTTAATTTTTCTTCTTTGATGTGTTTTGCACTTTAGAATCCGGAATATATGCGCGAAAATTTCGTTATCAAGATAGAAACGATGCATCTTCCGGACAGAGGAACTACGGAAAACGTAAGACTTTTGAATTAAGGCTAAGAGTTTTGAACAGTGCTTGTTATGCTAATTTGTATTTTTGAGTGTCGAAACTTCTAGAATGATGAATAAACGTTTGTTTCAACACAGTTCACGCTTGTTAATCACAGAACCAGGTGACTGCAACAAAAGGGTAGCATCTGTTGAATTTATTTAAATATCTTAAATTGTGAATCACAGTGAATGGTCTATTTTTTGAACACAGCATTTGTTTTTCATATTGCTTTTTTCTTGTCTTTTAGCGCTACTACTCACTGAATGGCGTAACGATATTCTTGAAAAACGTATATCACTTCAGATGATTGACCCGTATGGACGATTCGCTCCTGTCTTATGGGCCGGTTTACTCTTGAAAGTCCTTTTTGTTGTTCACAGTGGTGCGTACACTTAGAGCAAAAAGGCGAGGTTTCGCTCCGTTTTGCCGATTAAGTAGTTTTCTGCACGTAGGGACGAAAGTTTTGGATCATCCAATCAGCGCAGAGTTCATATTCGATGACAAAATTGATGTTACCGCAGGATTGGATAATAAACGTCTCCTTGAATCGCTCAATTAGCAAATATCTTTCTTTGATGATGGTGGTGCACTGACCATTTGGGGCGAAAAGTATTTTCCTGTGCCCCTTGTTGCGCAGTTCCAGAAGTCTATTCGCATCGTTTTTTCACCTTTCTGGGACGTGGCTTTTTCTTTCCTTACTTGATGCTTCGTTACTACTTGTTGTTCGGGTTCCTCAGCGATAATCTGACTTCTGGTTCTTTGTTCTTTGAGTGTCGTGGTTTTTTCTCTGTAATATTGCCCGCAGTTACATGGTGATTTGTAAGTCCGGCCTACAAAAATATTATTCTTAGAGTTGTTTAATGAAGTATTAAATTTATTAGAACTTTTATGTACTGCGTTAATATATTTAGTGTTATTTTATCTTTGTAATGTTGTACTAAATTAATTAAGATAAGGGAGAATTAGATGCGGTTTATTATTTCATGCACTGTTTTGTCATTGGCATTATAAGTTAATTCTAAGTGGTTCCACGGATTATAATATTTCTGACGAATTGAACTGAATAATTATTGTGATCACGTAGGATAATTTTATTATTTATTTCTTCTGTGCGACATTCGTTATTGCAGAGTTTAGTGTATTAAGACTAGCTACAGATCTTTTATTATTGTTTTGCTGTTATGTGATGTGAGCTAAAATATAGATATTTATCATTGTTAGTATGTTTGCGATAAAGTTTGTTTCAAATTAGTTACTAGAGATAATAATAAGGACATCAAATAAAGTAAGCAGGAACTATTTTCTTTTTCAGTGGTTAACTCAGTATTTCAAGGAAAGAGACCATTGAGAAAGTCTAGTACTTTATTTTCATCACCGGAAGTGGAGAAGGCATGAAGAGGGACTCTTGGAGAAATATGAGGCGATGTACAGGACGTGCTATTTCAGCCGGAAGAAGAGAGCAGACAGTAGCGAGTCTCTAAAAATTGATGGCAAGCTGTTTCCTAGAGTCCCAGCATTCACGTATTCTAGTTTTATCGTTTGGTGCAACGGATAAATCGATTTCGAACTAAGAAGTTGATCGAAAAGGCAGCTTAAAAGGGTTACTTTGATGAGCAGCGTACTTTGGACAAGAAAATATACGGCAAGCTAAAACTGATGTCCTATACAACAGGAATGAAATTTCGTAGTAGTACTGTTGCATAGAAACGACAATTGGTTCACGTTGAAGAAGCTCATACACCCACTGAATTTCGTACAAATTCAAATTCTTTCGTGGATGTGTAGAGTCAGTGTTTACCATAGAACCATGTTTGAGGCATGTTCGTTAGCAGCGCACTGTTACCCCTGAAACAGAAAAGCCTACCGAAAACCGGTTCTGTTGGTTCTGTAACTTAAAATAAGGGGCTATGTATGGAATTTTTACGCCGTTCAGGCGTTGATTAGAAATACCTTGGCGTAGCTCTTTAACAGGTGTGCTTCGAACACCTGAGGTACGACATTCACTTCCGCTCGACGGCAATCACTGTTCACGAATTCCGTTGAGCAAGGAATTTGCCGCACATTGTTTCAGATCGAGGTTGCTCAGTGGTAGTGATCGAACTCAGAACCGATTCGTCCTGAGTTCATGCCCCGGTCAGGTAATAAACACCACTACGTGAGTTGTAAACGAGAGACTACACGCTACGCTTAATACGTGGCTATGGAGTCTGGTTTCGAAAATAAGGCATTTCTGGCTAATGACATAGAAACAGGGATGGGAACCGCAGCATTATCGTCATGAAGAGAATAGCGCCAAAATGGCTCGATCAGGACAGTGAAGAAAACCGGCATTTCAACTTTCGACAAGAGATACCTTAGAAATGAAGATCTGGGGACCAAGGAAGGGTGATGCGATATTGCAAAGAAAGATGTGAAAAGGCCCTATGTGACCGAAGAGTTGATTAAGAATTGGCCAAGGTGGTTGACGTTGACTATTGCGGAATATCGCTATTGGATGAAAAGTGCCAGGAAGAGTAAGGAAAAAAAGGGGAAAATTAGAAGAGATGGAGAAACTAAAATTAGAATAGAAAATCAGGGAAATAAGGATGCGATTTGGTGGAATTCCATCTTGCAGATTATCAGCATTAAGTTGACTTTTAGTTGAATAAAATTTGTTTGCAATGTTTTTGTTTAAATTATTAAAAATTTGCAC